TTCCGTTCCTGCCACAGCAGTGCGACGCTGTGTGAGGAACTTGATTTCCGTTCCTGCCACAGCAGTGTGACGCTGCGTGAGGAACTTGATTTTCGTTCCTGCCACAGCAGTGTGATGCTGTGTGAGAAACGTTTTGACGTTGTGTGACGAACTTGATTTTGGCTCCTGCCGTGGCAATGTGACGCTGCGTGAGGAACTCACAGTGAGGACTCAGAGGCCCTACCTGCGATCAGTCCTGCACAGCCCACCAGCTGCTGCGTAAGGAAGTTAGATTCAACACTCCATAAAATTTAAAGCAATGACACGCGCTCAGCTCTTTTCCGCAAAAAATCAGTGAGGTCTTATTAGGCCAGCGCTACTAAGCGCAAGCCCCTTCACTGCGATCATGATGGTCGTCGCGCTTATCATCACTCCAAGGTCGTGGATCTTTGCACCATGCCCCCAACGAGTCATCCCACCACTCAGCGTCGTCCTCCTCGTCGTCTTGTTGCTCCTCATCATCAGACCACCAGCTTTTCTGTTTCCACCCCATGCGGTTGCCCCAAGAGTTAGACGACTGCCATCCAGCATCACTCTGCTCCGAGCTCCACTTGTCGGCGCTCTGGCGCTTTCTTTTCTTCTCTTCTTTGGCTGCTTTCATGTTCTTGAACCATGAAGAGCGCTGCTGCGAAGGAGGGCGCTTCTGCCTCGACGAAGGCTCCCAAACGTGCTCAACCCGCACCACAATTTCTTGGGTGGCAGGAGGCGTGGGTGTGGCTGCTTGACTGGCAGCCGCTTGTTGTCCTGCTGGCATCATTGCAGGTTGTGCCACGTGCCATTGTTGCTGTTGCCACTGGGCCGCCTGAGCTTGGTGGGCAGCTTGCTGCTGCTGCAACAGCTGCTGTTGTTGAGCTACCTGGGCAGCTTGCTGCTGCAACATCTGTTCTTGCTGCAGCATCTGCTGCTGTTGAGCTGCCTGGGCAGCTTGCTGCTGCAACATCTGCTCTTGCTGTAGCATCAGCTGCTGTTGAGCTGCCTGGGCAGCTTGCCGCTGCAACACCTGTTCTTGCTGCAGCATCTGCTGCTGTTGAACTGCCTGAGCAGCAGCTGCAAACTGCTGCTGTGGTTGTTGCTGATGCCACGCACGCAGCAATGCTGCGTGAAGTTGTTCGTCAGTCAGGTGCTGCTGCTGCTGGTGCTGGTGCTGGGCTCGAGCACGTTGCTGACACTGCTCACGGTCACTGCCTCCCGGTCCATGGCTAGAAGCTGGTCCTGGTGGTGGACCAGGAGGGTCCGCCGGAGCAGCAGCAGCTACCGCGAAGGCTGTGGTGCCAATGGCCTGCCCAGCCAAGCATGTAATCTAGAAAACTCGTCAAATTGACTTCACGAGGCGACTAAATTCAGAAGACTGTGAACAAACGGTTGCAGTTTGGAAGACATTCTGGAAAGATTGTTTTGAAATCAGTGTTACAAGCCGCCTGGCAGCGCAGGCGCAAGAGCAGAAGGACAGGGCGCAGACTCATGGCGTCGAAGCGTCGGGTTGTTTCGTCTACCAGGCCTCACTGGAAGAAAAGAGCCGGGGAACACTCATTGTCATGGAAGGCTGACAAAACAAATTAGGCATCGGTCTGTCGAGATCCTGTGGCCTGCCCAATCTGTGTAAGGACCCTGCCTATCACAGAGTTAGTAAGGCTTCCGCTTCACGAGCGCTATGATCGCAAGTCGCAAAAGTTAAGTTTTTCCTCAGGCCGTCGATCTGCCGTTTGTAGGTAAGGCATCAGAACGACGGAGCAATGCCAGTGCGGCTGCGGCAAGGATCTACACTGCTAATGATAGGATCCTGCAAGGCCTGCTCCAAAGTCAAGTAATGCTTCAAAGTGCCCACCCACTCCTGGTACGTTTGACAGCGACAAAGGGTCAAGCAACGATGAGCGAACTTCAATGCGGTCCATACACCTTAAACAAAAAACTAGCAATGACAAGGGGCGTTTTCCTCGTCACCTCGCAGCACAAGGATCTGCCGGTTCTTGTTGATCGGGAGAGGGCCGCTCATCTCTTGCCGAAGGTCTTGAAGCGCTTTCATTTCCCATTTGCAATGCACTAGGTTCATCACTGCTGCCAAATGTCGGCACAAGCACAAGTGCTGCTGCATGAAGCTAGCTGTCACATAGAGGAATCTCTTCGTGCGCACTGCAGCCTTGTACGCGCAGGCCACGCCCTTTTCCCCCTTGCTGTGCAAAAATTCCAGAGAAACAATGCTGGCTCCTGTAAGAGATGCGACAAACAGTTGTTCTTGCGAAGGCCGGCTCGGGTCGCGTGCAGCAATCAGGGTAGCCTCTGCCAAGCTTCCAGCTAGCCTTGGCCCAGGCGGCAAGAGAGGGAGCAAAGCCTGATCAGCGTGCACAGGCCAGTCGCTAGACCATGCATCCTTAGATTCTCAAAAGCGGAGCAAATCAGACTTTCATACTCCTTGAAAATTGTAACAGCTCAAGCCCTGCGTGGAAAAATGCAAGCGAAGCCAAGCGGCGGCAGATTTGACAATCTGATCCTTCTCCTTCGTCTGGTCTCTCAACCTCTCTCTCTGGTTCTTCCTTAGTTTCTCTGCGTACTCACCGGCCAACTCCAACATGGCCGGAGTGATCTCTGATGGGGCCATGGCGCCCATCAGCATGGACTCAAGCTTGGCTTTTCGAGCCTTGGAGTCGCAGAAAGCAAGCTCCTTCATCTGCTTCTCGGTGAACAGGTTGCCCATGTCCGCAGGGGAGGCTACGACTTTTGGCGCAACTTCCCCCAAAGGCCCAGACAAGGAACTCGCTACCAAAGAGCGCGCTTGCAGAAAACCTGCTTCACCATCTTTCAGTTGTTTCCTGCAGACATTTAGCAAAGAAGAAACAAGTTTTGAACCACTTGAAACCCGAACCCAGTCCTTGGCAAACCAGCGTCCCATCTTTGAGACCGCTTTGTTTGCCCACTCTGCCGCGCTTTGCCGCACAGACTGTTCCACAACTTCATGGCGTCAAAGACCAAACCCTTCACATCTTCAGAGCTGTAGTGCGGAAGAACGTCCTGTTGCAAGATCAAAACCGTTTGCTCCTTGGCAAGATGCTCATCCTGGCTTTGTCCAATCTGTTTTGCCGCCTGCGCTTTGCCAAAGCCACGCTCGACGTCACAACTGCTAGATGACCAGGCACCAAGTCGCCAAAGACATGGAAGCAATGCGGCTTCGCAGCTGTGCGAGCCCCTTGACTTTGCAGTGGAGGTGATTGCTTTCCGCCAGGCGGCAAACGTGGAGAGTCTTTCTTGGTGGAAAAATTTCGAAGCGATGGGCTCAAAGTGTGCAAACTCCCACTCTAAAGACTGTTCGTCCACCTTGGCAGCTTGGGCCAGCTTCTGGAGACATAGTTTGCGCTGGCTTGTGAGAATTGCTTCCGGCTGCCGTTTTTTGGCCGAGTCCAAGCTGAACACTGACCACGCGCTCATCAGTTCCCACGACGGAAACTCGGCTTCCAAAACCTTCTCCATGACGCAGACATAGCACGCCATTCTGTTGAGGCATGACTTCTTGACTGCTTCGGTCAAACCGCCCAGCCTAAGAGATACCCCACTGACGTTGATGCAACGTAGCTCTTCCAAGAACGACATCATCACTTTGGTGCATCCAGGAACTGACAAGCACATACCCTCAACGAACAATTTTCGCACAATCTCCCGGTAATGGTCCAACTCCTTGGATAATTCGCATTCTTCAAAACTTTCGCTGTCGAAGGTGTGGACCAGCTGGCTTAGCTGGAGCGCGGCGTCTGCCATCATGCCTAGTAACAGCAAACGCTCCTCGGAAAGGAAGCGAAGAGTGTCGAGGCACGCCGATCCCTCAGTCGACCGTGGGCCTCGCCACGTCGGGACCGCAGTCAGCACTGCAAGCACACTGTCCCACAGCAGCACAAGTCGAGACAAGGTTTTTGCCTCTGACGCATACCTCTGCGGCGCAAAGGCTAGGTCATGAAGATGCTGAGACACTTTGATAGGCTGACGGCACTTCTTCTTAAAGTCGTCAAACAGAGACTGGATGTGTGTGGAGTTGGAAAGCAATCTAGCGATCGAAGACGGCTTCTCCACCAGCTCCGTCATGATGCCTTGCAGCACTTCATCTGCGTGAAATGGTCGCGATAGCAGCCTGCCAAATAACGCAGAGCCGGACTCAAAGTATCAAGTGTCACAACCCGAAAATCAGCCGAAATACTTAGGGGAAGTGTTTGCAGACTAGTTGCCTTTGCGCCGCGTGGGCTCTGTCTTTGGCCAGAACCTGCAAACACTGTCGGGTAAACGTCGTGGAAGTAACAGAGACCGTATTTAAGATTATGACAGTGACCTATCTACCCAATGTTGCCAAGCCCATGCCTTCAGATTTGGAAAGGAACTTGCCAAAGCCCCTGGCAGCCGCAGCAATTGAGTACCGCCTAACCCGGCTATTTCGCGCAAGGCACATTGTTCGTCGCTTGCAGCATCTGCTGCGATGCATTCGACCTTCTCTAAGATACGGTCATAGAGATCCTTGTCGGTCTTTGGAGCGCTGTCACTTTGAGGGCTGCGCTTCTGCCCGTAGGCTGGTGGCAACGCTGGAGTGCAGAATTGCTCGATGGCCTTGAAGGTCGCGTGCGTCAATGCTTGAGCTCCAGGAATTTCTGGCGTCATTGCAAATTTTCTCAGAGCGACTGTGCCAGATGTTACATTCAAATCCTTGCCGCAGGCCTTGAACCGGAGCAGAAACCGATTTCCACGAACATCTTGCTGCAAGGATATCGTCTCTGCCCGTCCTACTTTTTCCCGCTGCTGGACCCGAGCTGATTCACAAAGGCAATATCTCATCATTGCCACTTTGGCCCTCCTGCCCGCATCTGACACTTCCGTGGTGCAGCCTTCGGGCTTGGTGTGGTCCAGGACGGCCATCCATTGCTCAACTGGTGGAGCCGTAGCAGACTCCTCGCTCATGTTGTTGTCCGGGGATGTCAATCCCACAGCATACTCGTGGGCTGGCGATGAAGCATGTTTGGCAAATCTCTGCAAACGAAGGTCTCCGCCACAGACTTCAAAACGAGCAAAGTGATGCTTGGATGCGTGAAACACGCGCATTCGATCAGGCGCCGTCTCATAGGCGTTAGAGCAAGTCTTGCAACCCAATCCCCACTTGTGAGTAGTGGCATTGACCCGTGCATCCAACCAAGGGCACTTTTCCTTCCATCGGTCTTTGTGGCTGTTCCAAATGCACCGCGCGCAGCGCTTCAGCTTGCACATAGACTGGTGCTTGCTGTCATCGCAGCCACCAATAGCCAAAAGCACTGGGTCATCATTGTTTTCGGACTTCTTTTCCATTTTCTGATAGGAGCTCTTTGAGCCGGAGTGGATTCAAGCCTAGGAAAAAATCAACCTGGCACAGCTTAAGTTGACCAGTCCAAGCTGCCCTGCCACGCAATCCCTGCCACACGCCGTGTGAAGGGTCATGGAAAAGGGCTCACAATGCCTCTGTCGACCGTGAGGGCATTCACACATATCATCTCTGGGCGCCTTTTCTCAGCCGCTTGAGTTGTAGAGCTGCTTCGGTCACTCATCACAAGTTTTCAATGAGGAAAGATTGAATGATCCAATCCTTGATGCAATCGGACAGCCAAGTCCATTCTGGACGGTCTTCGAAACAGGCGCGTGTCAGAAACACCAAGCCAGATGCAATCTCCTGTTGCATAACCTTGTGGGAAGGATGGACCGGCTCCTGTAAACGTGTGGTGCCAAGCTCTTCTTCTGGTAAGATGTCCCAGCCTTCATCAGACGGAGTCTCGGCCACCTGCAATCGAAAGAGGATCTTCCGCAATCCTTCTAGCCAGACCACATCCGTGTTCGTCATTTGAAAATATTCGATCACGTTCAAATTTTCTGCCGCCTGAGGATCGTCGTGTGTGACCAAATGTTGCCGGAGAGCGCCAGCTGCTTTCGAAGCAGAGGTAGGCAACATGAGGCTAAGTCGGCCTTACTGGCTTTCGTTTTGGGCTGAAGAGCTGCCTGCAGTAAACAGAACGGGCGGGTCAATGAAAGCGCAAAACTTGCTGCAAGTTTACATTCGCTTGTTTGATGCTGCGAGAAGCTCTAGGCGTGGCCCCTGCCACACTCTCAGCCAGAAACCTTGGCATGCCTGCTGCACATGCTTTGAGAAGCTCTTTGAATCGCGCGAAGGCTTGGGAATGCCTGCCCCACATGCCGTGAGAAGCTCTTGCATCGCCCCTGCCAGCATTGAATCGCGCGAAGGCTTGGGAATGCCAACCGCGCATGCTGTGAGAAGCTCTTGCGTTGCCCCTGCCAGCATCGAACCGAGCGAAGGCTTTAGAATGCCTGCCGCGCGTCTGTGAGAAGCTCTTGCATGGCCCCTGCCAGAATTGTGCGAAGGCTTGACAGTGCATAGTTTGGGATGATTGTAGTCAAAGTCTTGCAGGCAGGGGTTCCAAGTTTAGATTCAGTTAATTGATATAAACATTTTGGCCGAGTAATAATCTGTTCAATGAGCTTGAGAATCTATTTTTTTATTCTATGGTGTGGGGGAAATTCATTGTTGATTAGGCAAAGAGTATCCACTTGGACTAGCGTGGCAAACAATCAGCGCAGAGAGCCTTGCTAAAGTCAACCCAGAGAAGTTCTCTTGAGGCTGACTCTGTTCCCGCTGGTCATATATCTCCAGATGTGGCTGCGTTGAGCCGTTGGAACAAACGACAGCAGATTGTCAGAGTGATCAAGCAACAATTTCGAGATGCGGGTCTGGGAGTACCAGAGTTTCTTGAGGCCATGGGCAAACAGTCCGAATCGAACGTGACAATGGCCAAGCGTGCTTGGGAACGAGAAATCTTCAGTGCTAGACATCTTCTTCGTCTTGCGTGTGAAGTTGTGGCTGCAGCAAAATGAGGGATGCGGCGTTTTTCGGTTACGTCGCTGCAGTCCCATCGGACACGTTGGCCCGACAGTGGACTGTAGTACTAATTCGGCGCACGCCAAGATTGTGTTGTACAAAGCATAACTGCGCGCAAAAGATGTAGAATTGTTGATTTTTGGGAGGCTCCTTTTCTCATTTGTTGGACCGGAAAAGGAACCGCGAAGTACACGCCAACAGGAGGTCTCTCACGTATCCTTCGTTGCCCCCGTCTGCCGTTGAGCTCGAGATTCGAATCTGAATCGAAATAACCCTGTGGCAATGTCCAACACGGTCCGGAAGTGGCCAATCCTGGTCCAGACCAAGAGGAAACCGAGGGCAAAAGTGGAAAGAAAAAAGCCGGAGGCACCTCCGCTGTTGCTGCCCGCGCCTCGAGCATCTGGCAAAGATCTGGGCCAGCTGGCTCAGTCAGCAGCTGACCCTGCCAGCCTCGACGCTGCGCAGCCTGTGTCGGATCGTGTCGGTTCTGCCCAGGCGCCCGCAGGCGTTGATGCGTTGGCCAAGCGTTTGGCTTGTGGCAGAACAGCTGCAGTGTTGCAGCGCATTCTCCAATTCAACCCTTTCAAAATTGATGAAGAAGATGAAATACCGCCCTTTCGAGGTGGTGCGCCCTGCAGGGGTATGACGGCCAACTTGCCAGATGGATCCATGGTGTTCATCGTAGACACTTTCTTGCGCAGGGGAGTTTTGCACGCGGACATCGCCATGGTGAAGTCCAGTTCTGCGGGGGCCGGGCGCTTCTCCCTAGGCAGGCTGTCCACCGTCAAAGCGGACGCCCTCTCAAGTGTAAGGGTGGAACTCATCGTCGCAGACGTCCGCGGAAGAGACGTGAGGCTGCGCAGGGACGCGCGCCAACAGAACGTGGAGATGCTTCAGCTTGCCCTGCCAGCAGTGTGCCCACCCGTCTCGGAGCCACGCATCTCCAATGGCAACGTGATTGTTGGACCGCTTGCAGCCACAGAACACACTGCAAGATTTGGTACCAGCGGCTGCCCGCACCAGACTGTCCCGAGGGAAGAGAGAGTGTGGAGCGGTTGGATATTGGATATCCCTTCATCGGTGCCTTTCGTTGCAGAACCACGCAGGTGCGCGAGTTGCAGGTACAGTGCAGTTTCAGAGATTGATGACAAAGACTACTTTCCGGTGCTTGCACAGGATGTGCTACGTGCCTTTCCGCACGCAGTCGTTGTTGATTGCCCAAGACAGAAGCGCCAGTTCATGTCGCGCAGGTACTTGTTCGAAATTGCGCTGCAGTTCTACGCCTCGCTGAATTGCAAGGAGGTGAGGAGGCAGCTGATGGCGATTGCAGTGACGCAGGCGCTGAGCGCCGACATGGTGTGGCGTGCCTATGCCACACCGAAATCGCAAGCTTTGCGTTGGATCGTGATGAAGGTCTTTGGGAAAACAATGCAGGGCATGGTGGGAAGCCTACAGGCAAAGCTCTTTGTGTACAATGGCCAAGGCCTCCGCCACGATGGTAACATGGGAATAGCCAACCGGGTGGCGCTGCGTAACGTGCAAGAAGGGGCGCGGAGGCGTCTCAGCAAAAAGAAGCACTTGCTAGGTCGCCGAAAGCGTTGCGGCCGGGTGGTCTTGGCAGTGACAGGCGCGGTATGTTTATTTGTGCATGTTACTTGCATGCAAGTATCAAGTGCGTTCCCAGCTGTCAAGGCGTGGATGGATGCCTTTTGGCGCCGCCGGTCATAGCCAAGACTGAGTCCAACAACGAAATTGTAGCAGCCCTTACACCCCTGTTACTGAGCATCAAGAACACAAGACTTCGTGCCGGTTGCATCTTGGCCAGACATGATTTTGGTCGACTTATAGTGATATCATGGTCGATAGAGAGAGCGCAGGCATCATTATATATATATATATTATACTAATTCTTCTCGAGTTGCAGGCACCCTAGAAGAAAGCGTGCCAGCCTTCCATGCAACTGACAATTATTACAGAGGTCAAAGACTCAGACTGGCGCAATTGTATCGTGCCATTTGGCCCGATCTCCGGGTACGGTCTTGGTCCAGGACCCGCAAGGGTAATGCCGTTCGGAGGGAAGTGTTGGGTGAAGAAAGTTTGGCCTTGGGCTGCAGTATCGTGGGTGACCCGCAACATGATGTGATAAATTTGAGCAAGCTACTCCATGGAAGAGCCGCAGACAAGGAAGATCTGCTCCGTGACCACCAAGAGCTTCTTCATCGCCTGTCCGGTCCAGAGGCCCCCAACAAAAAGGATTTTGCTGTACCTCAAGCAGACTTGAGTGCACCAGCAAACGAGCTGCTGACCAGCGCCTGCGTTGAACCCTTGCCAGCGTTCACGCAGACGGCTGCTCGCCTCAAGTGTGCACACGCAGAGGTCAAAGATTTCTTAGCCCAGCCAAGAGTACAAGAGAGCAGAGCTTGGCTTGATCCATTTCGAGCGTATCCTCCAAGGGGTACCCTGGCTCGCATTGCTAGGAGGGTGGGGGCGACCTTGCACCCGTCCTCGGAAGCGTGCGGTTGGCGATCGGAGAAGGAATTTCGGAGAGAAGCGCGTCGGATTCGGCGGTGGTATCGCGGCGGACGGAAGACTATGCGGAGGAGTGTGGGCTTGCCACGCACTGATGGCTCCCCGCACTATGTGCGGGGACTGAAGACAGCCTGGACAAAGAAAGTCGGCCTCCACTACAAAAGATTCTTTGGGAGAATCCGGCAAGAGGGTCTCTGGGCCTGGAGGCAGGTGTCCAGGGCACTGCGACTGGCTAACATCAGCCAACAATCCGGAACCGTCTCAGTGGAGAGGGTCTGGAGCTACTACAAAGCAGCGCTGCCAGTTGGCAATCGAATCATGGCCAAAGACTATTTCGATCTTCTGTCAGGCTTACTGTTCGTGCGCTATTGTCTCACCCACGCAAAAGCAAACAGGCTGCCACCATGGCTGGAACGCGACTCCCTGATGGCAACAAAACTTGACGCCGTCATTGCGTACGCGCGAGACGGGGCGCGCGACTGCTCAGAGGCGTTCAGGTAGTAGAGGCAGCCTGGACGGTGGTTTGCCCCTCCAAAATGGAAGGTGGCTTGCCTCTCCTTATTCACCTTGCGTTGTCGTCTCGCCTCCGCAAGCATCAGTCGACGTGAGGGAAAAGAGGTGCGATAGACTATAGATGCAGACATTACCTCTATATATACATCCAATCTATATCTACAGCGGCCCTCGGGACGCTCTATATTCATGTTTTAGCTCGATAGGTGCGCGAAGCAGTTTTAGCTCGACCTCTCAGACACTTTTTCTACGGTGTACCTCGATTCAGCAACCAGGTTGCTTTGTTTTGGGTCGGAGTAACGAATAGATTATTACCCAGATTTGTTGTCGGGTTTTGCTCTCAGCGGGGCGTTTAGGGAACAGACCTTAGCAGCAGCACAGCCGGACGGTGGCTTGCCCCTCTGGACCAGCTATGGAGGGCGCTAATACATCTAAGGCTGCGTCATCATCAAAGGCTGCGTCTGTGGCGACATCTCAGGCCAGTCCGGTTTTGCTCTCAGCGGGGCGTTCAGGGAACAGACCTCAGCAGCAGCGCAGCCGGACGGTGGCTTGCCCCTCTGGACCAGCTATGGAGGGCGCTAATACATCTAAGGCTGCGTCTGTGGCGACATCTCAGGCCACACCGACCGCAGACCGGAACATGGACGAAGAACTTCTGGCCAACAAGGAGAAGAGCGCCGATATAGCAGCACAGGGGCCATTGGAGATGGAGGCCAGCAGCGATGAGGAGTCCAGCGATGCTGCAAGTAATCCAGGCGGAGCGACCACAGTGTATGAAAGCACTGCGCAGGGCAGCGACTTCGAGGACCCGGAGTTAGGCAACCTCTCTGTGGAGGACGAGCAGTGGCTGGCAGCTTGCCCTAAGAAGACAGCCCGGCAGAAGACGCGCGAGAAGACTGGCCGCAACCGCCGCAGAGCTGGAAAGCGCGTCCAGGAGCAGACGCTCAAGAAATGGGTGCCGTCTCACCTCCGCAAGCATCAGTCGACGTGAGGGAAAAGAAGAGCGATAGACTATAGATGCAGACATTACCTCTATATACAGCCAGTCTATATCTACAGCGGCCCTTGGGACGCTCTATATTCATATCGGCGCGCGAAACAATTTTTCGGGATGAAGGACACTTTTAGCTCTACGTAGCGATTCAGCGACCAAGCTCATTTGTCTTTGTGTCCAGCGTGCTTTGGCTCTGTGCACACATCAGGGTAAGGCAACAGAACGCCAGACGCTCCCCGGCGCACGATGCCGCAAGCGCCGCAGAGCACACCGCCAACCAGCAGAAAACTGGTTTTTCCCTCGCCATCGCCATCCTCAGTTGTACCGCCCTTGCCTCCACCATCGCCAGGGCTCCAGTCGCCGCCGGCGCTTGCGTCGCCGCCGTCGCCAGAACCACCAGAAGAACTCGTCCTCCTGACCCAGCTAGCCTTGTCACCAATGCCGACTGCCCCGTCGCCAGCGCAGATGTCGCCGGGACAAGCGTCTCAGTCTCCTATGCCCAGGGGGTCTGCGGCAGTGTCAGCCAAGTGGGGCTTCAACTTGCAAGCAAAGAAGTCAACGGCCCACACATCCCAGGAGCCGGTGACGGAAACAGTTCGAGAGCTCTACGCTGCGAGGACAGAGGAGAATGTTTTGGAGATACTGTGGTCTCCAATCTCTTTGACAAGTTGGGCTCATATGAGCAAATCTATGACACTGTGCGCAAGAGGCTCGAAGAGATTTGGGCAGACGAGCGCACACATCGTGACCTCAACCTGGACCCGGAGTGTGCGTTCTCAACCCACTTTCCAATGCCCTTCTTCCGCGCAGCAGAGACTGTGGCCTTGAAAAATGGTTGGCATTTGGAGTCCTTCTTGCTTTCCTTGATGAACAATGTCCCCTTCCTGGAACACCGGGCGACGCGACTGACGCCAACAGCTGGGAAGCACATTCAAGAGCTTCAAGAGGTGCCTGAAATTACATCCTCCGCGCCCCCGCCATCGGAGGTAGAGCGGCCAAAGAAGAAGATGAAAAAGGGTGACGACGCCCATTCTGACGATGACGAGGCCAAGGAGGCGCAGGATGCTGCGCTGCAGGCTTGGCTGCAAAAATCCAACGAGATGTACGGCTCTGACAGCCTCCTACACGTCCATGCTGGAGATTACGTCCACCAAATCAGTCCTGGCATCCCAGTTATCTTGGCCGGCCCAGCAAGCAGCCGGAAGTCCAGCCAGTGTGAATTCACAACAAGTCTGATCCAGGCCAAGGAAGTTTTTTCTTTCACATTCGCGCAGTTTCACCTTTTTAGGGGTCGGTAAGAAGCTGTTGCGAGGCCTCCAAGTACGCAACGGACGACCTGAAGCAATGCAGCATGGTGGAGGCAACGCTCAAGGGGGTGCCTGCGCCTCAGATCCCGACATTTTGAAGACAGGATTGTTTCAGCTGTTGCACAATATCCATCCGCCATCGAGTCCTCCGGCCTCCCTAGGCGAGCTTCCATCATGAACACTGGGGCCATGGCTGTCATCAGCGACGAACTCAGTAACTCCATCCTGACCCCGTGGTCGGACACACAGCAGGGCTTTGCTTTTCTAAGCAAGTCCAAGCTGAACACATGGTCTCAGGCCGAGGCCGATTCGAAAATAACAGGGACAGAGCGCATCGGCTGGACTTGCTACAAGTCTCTCATCAAGCTATACGGACAGAATGAAGCGGCAGAGTGGACCCTGCGGCCGACTCCAAATGGTTTTCCCAAGAGGATGACCATTGCTTTCTCAGGAGAGCGAAACCCGATGGATGAGGACATTGTAGACAGCCTCTCAGTCGGCATCCTGCAGAACTTGCACGACTGGCTTCTTGCCCGCGCGCACGCGGTGCCGTGCAGGATCTGTCCAGATGGCTTTGCTGCTCCTCGATTGCAGAGTTCTTTCAAATTTTGTTTCTTCTTTCGTTCGTTTGTCGTGCTCCGCGCAGCACTCCACCTCCCAACGAGGCAACGGTGCTGTCGGCAGTTCGCTCCGCGACGAACGACTTCATGGATCAGTTTCCGTTTGAGGACAAGCACTGGAGTACCAAACTGGCGTTCTTGACGACAGACGTCATCCGGTTTGCCTCGGCCATCATGAGGGTTTCCCAGTTCTTCGAAGCGCTCACTCCTGCCTTTCGAAACGTCCCCACCAATCGGCGAGTGCAATTCAATCACTTCGAGGTCGTCGCTGCGGTGCGACTGTGGCTCCGGCAGGTGCATTTGGTCCGGGGCTTCTCAGAGGCAGTATGGGCGCGAATCGACAGCGAGCCAGATCGCAGTGGGCACGATAACGATCCCAGACAGCAAGCGCCAGATCGCAGTGGGCACAATAACGATCCCAGACGGCGAGCGCCAGATCGCAGTGGGCACAACCGATCCCCCACAGAAAGCGCCAGATCGCAGTGGGCACGATAACGATCCCAGACAGCAAGCGCCAGATCGCAGTGGGCACAATAACGATCCCAGACAGCAAGCGCCAGATCGCAGTGGGCGAAACGGATCCTCGACGGCAAGCGCCAGATCGCTGTCTCTAACGTTCGCAAACACACATCCTGCACACCCAGGCTACAGTCGATTCATCGAAAGCTTGGAGGCCAAGCTGGATGTAAAGGAAAAGGGCTTGGCGGAGATGATGAGTAAGGCCCCACCACCACGCACAAAGCGCGGCCCGGTGCTGGAAGGGATCGATCTCTTGATGGCGCAGATCCTGGATCATCCATGCACAGCAGGGGGGGTCGACTTCTCAAGCTCGATGTTGCGCACGAAGCTGAAGGATCGATATCGAGATGAATCCAAGCTTGCGAATAAGATTGCGGAGTCCGGAGGCAACCCAGAAGCTGGTCGTCAAAGGTCTTGTCGTGCCTGGGGCTGAGCCGCCTACCATTAATGACCCAGCTTCCAGTCGAGAGGACAAGCCCAAGAAGCTGGGAGGAGGTCGAAAGGTCACCTGGTGGCGGAAAGCAACGCTGTCAGCCGTGGAGGCCTGCGAGGAGAAGACAGCAGAGCGAGTGCGATTGGGAGTGGCCAAGTCTGCGTTTCCTTGAGTCTTGCCAGGAGTTGGTGGCTTGCTCCCCGTGGAAGCACCTATAATATATGCACACCTTCGGAAAAGTGATGTGCTCCTTCATTCACCTGGTGGCCTGCCCCGGTTTGCGCAATGCGCGCCACGCTCACTAGACGCACCTTCGGAAAAGTGACGCGCTCCTTCGTTCCTTTGGTGGCCTTCGTTCCTTTGGTGGACACATGGACGCATGGATCACTTTGTCATCTTGCAAACAAACAGCTAGCTCTGACAAACTCCTTTTTCCTTCTTGCAGGCTCAATTTGTCAAAGCTTACCAGCAACTCAGTCTATATGCCGTCCGAGTGGCAGGATCTCGCCGTGCGCGCCATGATGTGCAGCTTAGAAGTGGAGATCGAGAATACTAGAAGGAAGGGGGAGCGATTCGTCCTCCTGACATCCACATATCACTGCCTAGAAGTCATTGCGTCGCAGGTTGCAGACCTTCAACAGATAGAGGGTATGGGGAATACTTTGCCCAGCGTGGCGCCCATTTTCCGCAGCGCAGCTTCGAGCATCCTCGAGGTCATACGCAACTCGCAGAAACACTCCGGGGATTTACACACAGAGTTCCTGCGTTTCTTCGAGGGGATCCAGGAAGAATATTTCGCGTATTCTGCCTGGCCCGACATAAATGTGCAACTAGAGAGTCACGAACAAGTTTTGCCCCGCTCGGCCTCCTTGCCCCACCTGGCCCTTGGTGGTGTACTTCATTGCCTGGTCAGCGTCCAGCGGTCATTGCGATGCAACTTGGACAAATAGACTCGGTCAACAAAAGTATATAGAAAGCTTGAGTCAGCTGAGGCATTCTCTTCCCTCAGACACAATTCTTGGTGGACCTGAGCGCCTTGGTCGATCAGTGTATAGATGCTTATAGCTCTGATTGCGCCCATCGCCCCTGCGATTGAAAATTGTACCGACGTGTGTCCCTGAGTCTTGAGGCCGCTTCCAACCCTGCGGAGGTCTTAAGCTGTCTCGGCTCAGTACGTCCAAGTATTCCTGGTCCAAGTATGTCCTCCATGATTCCTTGCTATGTTGTACCACAGAGCCTGCGGCTGGTCCCCATCTTGCTGCAAATTGGTCTCTGTATCTACAAAGCACCATCTCCCCTCAAGCTCGATGGTCTTGGGGAGCGAGCTCAGAAACGGGGCCGGCCCAAAGAGGGAGAGGAGAGGGCGCCGGTGCTCGACAGCGGTCGCTGCACCCAGCAGCGGCAGGACAGTGGCTCGAGCTAGAAAGCATATTCCTTTTTGCTGCAAATCTTTTCGCGCATGTCCCGTTTGCTTGAAACCTCGCGCATCCGGCGACAGGCCTTGCAGGAAATTCAATTTCTTCAGCGCCGCCCAGACATACAGTGCATTTTGCCGACTCCATTCATGAAGCTAGCTCGTGACATCTTGCAGCAGCATGTCGATCGCCGCAACAACGAGGCTGGGTGCCAAAACCCCAAGTGGAAGGTTTCCAACTTGCATGCGCTGTGGATACGCGTGATGCTTTCCAGGTAGATCCAGCAAAGGCGGAAGATAGTCAGGACAACTTACCCCGTTTGCGGATCTCCTGCGCAGCCCTGCGCGTCTTACATGATGCCACAGAAAGGTTTGGCGTGGAATTGATGGTCCAGGCGCGCTTGCTGTCTCTTCACCGGAAGTGCGATACGATAATGCTACAAGACCTCCGTGCCCTGCAGAGCTTGCAGAGCCCTGGAGCTGCAGATGTTTTCTCCTCGTCCACAGTATCTCCTCCTTCCCGGGCCACCAAGAAACAAAGAAAGCAAAGCAAGTCCCGCTGACTGATTTTGAACTTACAAGCCTAGCCTGAACACCTTTTATGGTTTGCGTTGAGACTACGATTTCGGCGCGTGCCCCAGAGTTGGCTTGCCCCAGAGTTGGCTGGGTGGCTTGCCCCAGCGGACCACTAAGCGCACAAAGCATGACATATGAAAGAGCAAAGCAAAACAAGTCTCAGAGCCTGCAGCGCATGAGTGTCCGCTCATAGATTTTTGAACTTGCAAGCCTAGCCTGAACAGCTTTCATGGTTTGTGTCGCGACTACGATTTCGGCATGTCCCTGAAAAAACGCTCTTCCCACGAGCAAGACGCGTGCAAAGATATTTACAATTTGTATTACCACCAAATATATATTCAAAAAAAACACACAGTATACACCCAGCGGCCCTTGGGACGCTATAATAACCTGTTTCCCGCCCCGGTCGGCTGCGCGACGGCCTTCTTTCGTCGTCGTCCGTGGGAGGTGATGACTCTCCGCCCTTTGCCAGCCATGGGCCGAAAGGGAGTTCAGGCAGTGGATGAGGTCTTGAAGAAGGTGGACAAGTGGAGCCCGTCCACTTTTATGACAGACCCACCGAATGAACCCCCGTGCAGTGCATTTCTGCACAACTTCCCTGTGGAGGCATTACCAGTTCAAGAAGGTATTGCTGGCGAACGTCTTGATGATGAGCCTGTACCGCCTGCAAGACGCGGTGGACATCGGCTGGCACATCGTGCTGGCGCGTGATGGCGGTGAGGCTGCTGGTGTAGAAGTTGACATTGGCTTTGGTTTCATATGAGCCGGGCGAAGAATTCCAGCCGGCCGCAACCTCCCGCCGCATTTCAGTGGGCCAGCATTTGGTGTCGCAAGTGTGCCCTATGTCACATTTACTTCACATGCATTCCGGAGCTCATTCAGGACATGTGGCGCCCAGTAGTGCTTGTGGACATAGATGCACATATAGATACCAATACATTTATATACGCAGACCTCTTTCTAATAGAGCGGCCCTCGGGACGCTGTAGAACTATAAAACGGTCAGCTCGGCGGATTACTGGAGTCATTCACTGATCTCTCTCTTGATCAAAGCGTTAGCTCGTGTGATGTGCGTCAGTAAGACGCCAAACTGGCTTGACGTTGCTGATAGCAGAGTTGAGTGCGCAACTTGCAGGGTGACTGATGGGTTCTTCATACAGCAGTGGCTGAGAAAGAAGTCAATGTGGTAGCCAGTTGACCTTCCAAAACCACGTTTGCATTCCCAGCTGTCTTTGGTGGCTTGCCCCAGTCGTAGCTTCCTCATGTCGGACGATGTGGATCCAATATGATGCTTACTTCCGCCTCGAAATAGAGCTGGAACATCTCTTGCTTGCTTACAAAGCATGAGCAACAAGACACGCCCCACGGCGGCGGCTTGCCCCGCCCTTTTTTGCCTGAATGGCTCCAGAGCGTGGGCTGGAGCGCCAGCATTCGGAGGTCTTAGATGCGGCTCCTTTTTCTGAGCAAACCAGACGGAAAAGGAGCCTCCATCCACTCCGCTGTCATTTTGCTTTGGAGCCGACACTGTTGCACCGAGACACCGACGCACCCATTGCAGGAGCTGCACCGCTAGACCGAGATCCGCCGTTACGCCAACACGCCAATCCGCCGTTACACCGCTATACCGACATCTGCCGTTCCACCCGTCATTTTGCCTTTTCCAGCGCCTGGAAAAAGGCAAAATGGCCTTCCGAGACGTTCCGCGTCATTTTGCTTTTTCCAGGCGCTGGAAAAAGCAAAATGGGCCTCCGAGACGTTCCGCGGTCGTTTTGCTTTTTCCAGCGCCTGGAAAAAGGCAAAATGGGCTTCCGAGACGTTCCGCGTCATTTTGCTTTTTCCAGGCGCTGGAAAAAGCAAAATGGGCCTCCGAGACGTTCCGCCGTCATTTTGCTTTTTCCAGCGCCTGGAAAAAGCAAAATGAGCTTCCGAGACGTTCCGCGTCATTTCGCTTCTTCCAGGCGCTGGAAAAAGCAAAATGGGCCTCCGAGACGTTCCGCCGTCATTTTGCTTTTTCCAGCACCTGGAAAAAGCAAAATGAGCTTCCGAGACGTTCCGCGTCATCCGAGACGCTTCGCCGTCATTTTGCTTTTTCCAGGCGCTGGAAAAAGCAAAATGGGCTTCCGAGACGCTTCGCCGTCATTTTGCGAGACGTTCCGCCGTCATTTTGCTTTTTCCAGCGCCTGGAAAATGCAAAATGAGCTTCCGAGACGTTCCGCGTCATTTCGCTTTTTCCAGGCGCTGGAAAAAGCAAAATGGGCTTCCGAGACGCTTCGCCGTCATTTTGCTTTTCCAGCGCCTGGAAAAAGCAAAATGAGCTTCCGAGACCAAACGGCGTAAAAGCGTCACGGCGTAATCGCGCCACCAAACAGCGTAAAAGCGTAACGACGTAACGACGTAGAGGTTGACTGCCCCAGATCCCCAAACGGCGTAAAAGCGTAATGGCGTAATCACATTTACGACACCAAATGCTTGACCGCTGAGATGTTGTTGTGAGAGATGTTGTGTGAGTGATGTTGTGTGCGAGATGTTGTTGTGAGAGATGTTGTGTGTGGGATGTTGTCTGAGTGGATGTTGTGTGTGGGATGTTGTCTGAGTGATGTTGTTGTGAGAGATGTTGTTGTGAGAGTTGTTGTGTGTGGGATGTTGTGTGAGTGATGTTGTGTGAGTGATGTTGTTGTGAGAGATGTTGTGTGTGGGATGTTGTCTGAGTGATGTTGTTGTGAGAGATGTTGTGTGAGAGAGGTTGTAGTTAGAGAGGAGGAAGGAGGAAGGAGGGAGGAGGACGGAGGAGGACGAGCGAGGAGGTGCAGCAAAAAAAACAAGAACCCCACACAACAATGTGGGGAATAAAAGTGACTTTAAAGTGCCAACGCCAGATCATGTTCACTTCAGCAAACGCCACACGTTCAGAATGATTTCGATACATCCCGGGCGCGCTCCCATCTAGCAAAATCGCCATTTGAGCTGAGACTTGTCACGAAAACACAGCTTCGAAGCAACCGCCTGAAAC